TCTAAGTTACCAATTCATATTATTTCTTAGATTATACCCATAATTGTATTAAGGCCCATTAGTCTACAACATGTCTACAACGTTCATTTACACTAGCATGTCAGACTTAGCTCGGAAAGTTGCAGGCCTAGTATGGGTGTTGGGCCGTACCTAGTGTTTTTATAAAAATTCTCAATCCGATTCTATTTATAAAATCGTTAGTAAATCGTATTTTACCGCAAGCCATATTGTCAATTATTAGAAATTAATGTCAGGAGGCACTTAGTGATTATTTTTAGAAGATAGTCATAAGTTTGTAAACCTTTTAAAATTTCATATTTGGCCTCGTTTATTAAATTATGTCTTAAACTTTAAATACTTGTAAAACTCATATGCAAAGGTTTTGGAAAACGTTATTCGCTAGAAATCAGAACCGTTTCTAATCTTACCAGTTAACTTTTTTATTTTTTCTTAATTTGTAATTAACTACGTATTAGAGTTAGATTCTTAAAATCTGAGCTTTGCGAAGTTTCTTCGTCTCATCATGATCTAAAAGTTTTGTGTTTCAAGGAAAATAAGGTTCGGCCTCAGAATGGCCCGAAATCTTAAAAATAGTGGCTGCCTAAATATTATTTTGCGCAGTTTTTGAAAATGGCCCAAAAACGCATCCTAGAGTCAGAATATTGATTTTTTTGCAGTCACATGGATTTGTCCATAACGTCAAAACCTTTAAGACTCTCACATTAAAAATCTCGAAATTGCCCTCTAAAGGATCCAAAAATAGTAAAACAGAAACTAACTCAAATTGATAGTTTTATATAGACAAATGGTTGAGATAACTTATCACTAATTAAGGCCTTTTTTAATCAAGCTCTATGGACTAAAGTTTGATTAAAAAATGCTTATATGACTAGTCATACTTAGTGAGAAGAGAGAGAAAATTTACACTTAATGATGACTTAAAACCCTTGTTATATCAAGGTTCAATCATTGTCTCCATTTTGTCTATCAAAGATTCATTCTTAAACTTATTAAACTTGTACTGACAGTAATTTCTAAATCAGTTAACAGGATAAATAATTTCCAACGGTTTTTAGTCCACTGTTTAAATCACAGTCCAACACTATATTCGGAAGAAATCAATGCCGGTTTAAATTTAAAATCGCATAGATTATTCGGGCTATTTTGATACTTTAAAATTTGTTTTAAAATACTTGTCTTAAACTTTCAGTAAAACATAATAATCGACAGTGTCAATTTCCGAACCTGGCTTTACGATTTTATCAAAAACGCTACTCGCATAATATTGATTTTACTAATTGGCAATGAAGGACTTTTTATATGTTAGACTGTTTTTCAGAGCACTGCTAATAATGTACAATACTAAAAAATTCTTATGAACAAAATTTTGAGTCATAGTCGGATCAATAATTTCTCCCGTCTTAAATCACGGTGAGGATTATCGACCGAGTCATAACATAAAAATTTTTAACATAAAATTTTTATATAGAACTTTGGAATAATATTATTAAGTATATAAATCCTTCATTAGAAAACATGTCATTATCCAGGAAATCTAAAATTTAATTATGTAAATTATACTAACTAACATTAAGATTTTCTAGGTCATTGTAAAATTGGTGCAGAAAAAAAAAAACCCTTTATAATAGAAATGGTTTTGGTTCTCTAAAAGAGAAATTCAATAACATTAATTTTCATTTTTCTCAATGAATAATTGATTTTTTTATGAAGTTCTATTTTTGTTGATATTCCATAAAATTATTGTTCTAAAAATCAAACGCATAGTTTTAATTATATGGGGGCAAAACCACAATTTTTGCATTTTTAATTTCGATTAAATCTAATATTAAGAGTAGATTTTGTGTTATTGTATAAAAAAGGGATAAACTCAACATTTTCATACATGATAGAAATTCTCACGTTATGATCAACACATGGGAAAATTTTGATTGGCGCCATAATTTCTGATCATAATAAATACTTACTCTTAAACGAGATCACTATGAGGGACTATAGAGCAACATTTTTGGACACAGCCTCGTTCATTTCCGATTTGAGTTTTCAGTTTTAAGTTTCTATAATAAAAAGCTCTCAGAAAATGTCATATCTAACTTTTTTTACTACAATGAAAAGCTCTCAGAAAATGTCACATCTCAGCTTAAATTGAAAACTTGAATCCGTGAAATAAACGAGGCGATTCATATAAAGATGAATCCCACATTAGCATCATATAAGATAAAAGATCCACTAGTCTATGTAAATTGCGAGTCCAAACACCAAAGATGCCTTTTATCATTTTTGGAATTGTAGAAAATATTATTCTTCAAAATTAGAAAAACATTTTCAATCTGTTTGATTGATCATGACCACGTATAATAAACTGAAAATTGACAGCACGCACATAAAGGCCATATATAGTATCTTTAAATGTCAAATATAACGGCAGTTTTTTTTTCAGTTTTTTTTTTTTTTTTTTTTTCTAATAAATATGACGGCAGAGGTTGATCTGTGCTATTTTGGTACTTCTTGTTTAGGATTTAGCTCAAATTAAAGTCCAATCTGTAGTTCTCAATAGAGCATTCAAAGTCAAGCCCGCATAAAAGTAGGCCTGCTCCGGCCATAAAATGAATGAATTGAAATTAAGTCCACTAAGGTAGGGCGAAATTTTGATGAGGCGAATGAGGGAAATGTTATAATTTGGGGATCAATAAAAATTAATAGCATAATCTTTTAGAAAAATTAGTAAATAGCATAATACTTATAAATTTATATCAAAATTACCTCACTTTTAAAATTCTAAATTTAAAAACAGATACTCTCTTTCCTTTTTTTTTTCTTTTTCTTTTCTCGTTTCATCTAAAAAACGCTCTCTTTTGCTAAAAACAAAAGCTTTCATTATTTTGAAATCTGCTATTTGCTTAAAATGAATTAATAGAAAATGTTGTATGTTACAATTTCTCAAATTGGTATTCCTGCTCTAGCCATAAAGAGAAAGTGCTAAACTCAAGTCATATTGCTACAGTGTTTTTCTTATAAAAATTCAAATTCAATTTTTTTGCTACAGTATTTTTCTATCACGCACACAACTCAAGTAATGACTTGAATTATGTAAATGAACATTTTCGATATCCCAATCTTCCAATCTATGAAATTTTAGTGGTTAGTGATAAAACTCATTTTGTTAGAACTTTTAATAGAAATAACATCACACAAAAAATTAGGGTCATTGATTAATTTAATGTACAATTACTTTACTAACTTCTTATGTCACAAAAGAAAATAAGAGTATTATTTTAAACAAAAAAATTATTTTTAAAATTATTTAAAATTAGATTTTCTTAAAATTGGAATTTTAAAATTTAAACCCTTAGTTACAAACTATATTTAAAATAAGAATTATCAAAATACCCTTAAATCAGGTACCATATGCTAATTACATGTTAATCTTCATTAAAATTTTCTGTTTAAAAATCTAAGAAACTTTTTTTTTAATATCTCATAGAAGGTTACAGATAAGGGCCGGAGAATTCTTGTGATTACCCTTTTATTATTCAATTGACGTCACATAATTTTTTTATTCAATTTTTTATTTGAAATTATTAGTTTTTGTTTCTCTTATTTTCTTAGAGAAAACTTTATTTTATACCCTTTATTATATTTAAATTCGAATTTGGTATTCTCAATTTTCAAAAATTTCATATCGTTACCTTTTGATTTTTTTAAAAAAATCTATCTCAAAGTTATTTTTTGAGACACGAAAAGAAAAAATTTCTTTTATTATAAAAATTTATTTATTAATCAGAATTTTAAAGAAAAAAAATAAAAATTGTTATAATTGTGAGTATAATTATTTTTTAAAAATCCACCTCTTCAAAATTCTTTTTTAAAATTCTTTTCTTAAAAATTTTAGTCGATGAATTTTTACAATTTTTTACAACAATTTTTTACAATTTTATCTCTTCTGTGTCCTCAAAATAAGACATGAAATTTTTACAAAAATTATTAAATTCAAATTTCAATATAAAAAATATTAAAATAAAATTTTTCTTATTTTTTTTATTCAATATTACAATTATTACTATGATATTCAATTTCACAATTATTACTATGAAATATAGGCTCCGTTCATAATAAATTTAAACTTTTTTTAATTGGGTTTCTGTGAGCACGAGACAGGTGCTTCCAAAAATCAATTTCACACTTATTACTATGAATTATTATAAATTTTAACTTTTTTAAATTGGGTTTCTGTGAGCACCTGATAAGAGACAGGTGCTTCCAAAAATTGACGGGCTGGTCGGACCGAAAGTAGGGCCCAACCGCTCGCCTAAAACAGTGGTGTGTTCAAATCAGGTGTCGGCACGACTCGTCATCTCAATACGATCATTGGCGAGTCGCCTTTCACCCCTGACAGGACGGGTTATCATTTGCATTTCTGCTCCCTTTGGTATTTATAAAGCATCTAACTTTCCACATTTGCTAAACGCTTCCGATGTGGGACTTTGTTATGGAAAAGCTATTTTTGCCTTTGCGGGTTTCACTTTTGTCACAACTTATTATTTACATGATCTTATAGAATTGGATCCGATTTTGTAATTTTTTTTTTATTTTTCTGATCTTTGTTTAGTAACAAGCTTTGAAGCATTGTTGTTTTTATGAATTAGTATTTTCTCAGTAGATACAGGGTTGAGGACCAAAAGTTTGGGTCCATGAAAGCACCAAGATATATGTTAAGATCAGTATGGTCTCATTGCAACTTGAAGTTTCTATATGTTCAATTGATTATTTTGCTGATTTCACGGTTATAATTGCTATTACAGATGATATCTTGCAATTTATTAAAAAAAAATGATATCTTGCATGTGGCATCTGAATAAGCTTCAAGTTTTGGCTTTTCTTGAATCTCCTTTACTTAGCATATTTTATTTTATTTTATGTTATTTTTTTGGTCATACTCATGTTGGTGCTGACTAATTTACGGTCCAATTTGCAACTAGTTAAGAAGAAGAATATGATTATCAGCATGATAACATGATGAACAATTTTCTTAATTATAACAACAAATCAAAGCTACATGTTAGTAAACAATAAACAATTTGACACCCCCATTTTTTGTATGCTTATTTCCATTGCTATTTTGGGGTGCTAATGGGGTGAACTTGCTGATCTGAAGGGCAAGAGTGAAAGAAGAGACATATGGCAGAAATGTCATCCATTGCAATGTCCTTCCTCTTGCGTTTCCATGAGCGAACCGCGCACTCCACCAGACACTTTGCTGATTTTGCCCTGTCCGGTGTCGACGACACAATCTGCACCGCTTCTTGATTGGAAATAACATCCCAAACCTGTAAGAAGAAAAGTAACAAAACCCAATAAGAACAATTAACTCTAAATGAGCATAATTAGGTCAAAAATTTTTTTGTAGAGTTATGCAAACATGTAACATACCCCATCAGTTGCCAGCACAACAAACTGATCTCTATTTGTTATGTGTCTCTGTGTGACTTCAGGGACAGAAATAAGTCCAAAGTCCTTCACACAGTAATCTCCAAAGGCTCTAGACATTGCGAGCCCCGGTGATTCCGCGTCGGGGAGCCAGACTCTGTGGACTCCAGGTTCGTGTAGACAAAATACTCGCCCTTTGCATTGGATTATGCGCTCAGCCTCCTCTGCAAATGAAAGATGGAACAAGTATAACAACATATCAATGTCATGGCATATATGTTTTGCTTGCTGTGTTTAAATAGAGAGGAGACTAACGAGGTAAATTGGGCTTGAAATCAACAGTAAGCTGATCTGGGACCAAGCTTCCATCATCTGAAGTGGTAGCCAATACAGCGCGAGAATCGCCAACATTTGCTATAAAAATGAGTTCACCCTGTAAACAATGGAAATTAAAAAGAACATTTCGTGACACTTTTTGGTTTTTGTTTTTAAAGAATAAATCATCCAAATTGTAAGAGTATCAATAAGTTAAGCTACAGTCTGCGACTATGCAATAAAGTAGAGCTGTAAGTTTGGACCGGGCCGAACGAATTGATCAGAAATCCATCTTATTTTGGCCCGGGCCCAAATCAAGACTAGCAGCTAGACCCAAAGGTCTTTTCGGATTGGACTGGCCCGATTTTGTCATTTGGGGTGCTGGGCTCGGGCAGGGTGGTCCGGACTTGCAGCTCTGCAATAAAGTTTCTTTTATTAATTAGTGGTTGAGGAGGTATGAGTGGACGGTGTTGAAAATTTTGGTCAGCCGTAAAGTTCAAGGGAGCTATTATTATGACTAGTTCAATTCATTGAATGAGTGAGACCAACAAGGACATGCTCAAAGATAAAAAGTCAAGAGCACTACTTGAGAAGACTTCTCAAAGCAAAATTAATGGACTTAGTTAGTTAACCTCTCAAAAGGCAATAACAGTTTGTTTCTCTCCTCAGCCAACAAAAATTTTAGCGGACATGCCTTTTTCAACACCAGAATTAACAAGAACAAGTTGATTTTAAGGTATTACCTGTCTGACAATAGACAGAGCTGTTGTCCCACTGTAGAATGAGTCGATTTTACGGTGCTGTTCGAGTTCCTTGTCGATGGCAGCGCAGGTTTTTAAGTAGGAATGCTTCCATATGTTGAATCTGTGATGCTTTTTCTCTGATTCCAAATCCAAGTCCAAGTCCGGATCTAGACAAGTTTGAGATAGTAGTGTCTCTTGCCAATTACATAACAAAGATGGTGGCATTGATTCTCTAACAGTTTTTGCCACAAAATGTCCCCAAGGACCATGCCCATCAAAGATCCCACAAAACATCATGTCTTCTTGGCACCCAAATTCCTATCACCAAATCACAAAAACCATCAATATTACCAACAATAGGATAAATAAATTCGCCAAAGTCATGAGCAATAAATCCACACCTGACTCTGCCTTCAGGTCCCGAAATTCAGGGGAAAAAAAAAAAAAAAAAAAGAAGAAAAGAGGACTCGTCAAAGTTTATTATTAACATACTACATATGGAAGGAAAAAGCTCGACGTAAGAGACTATTTTAACTAAAGAGCCTATTTCATTTTTTGGCAAGAAAATGAAGTGAAGTGAAAACACAAACATTATATTGTATACCTCCCACACAATGCAGCAATCCTGGTTCATTCCTTTCTGGCCTCTCCTTGAGAAAACTGAGGCAAAATTGTCGGAGCCACTAGCATTCACAGTGCCAGAAGTGCGCAATATCGAGTCATTCTTCTTCGCGTCCTTGGCCATTGCCTCGGCTGCTTCTCTTCCGCCATGGCGATTCTCCGAGCTCCTTCCTTTCTTGAACGAAAACGACCTCGCTAGTCCATTGAACATGGAGGACAAATGCCCCATCACCCTCTTGCTACAATAGTATTCGAATTCCCCACCAAGTGTTTTGAGTTGGAGATTCAAAAATCTGAAACAATGAGGACTTGTTGTGACATTATGTAACGGTACTTAATACTAATAGATCTTAGAAAGAACCAAGAGGAAAGAAAAAGAAAATGATTCAATATTTGTACGGAAGGAAGCCTTCATTATTCATTTATTTATTTATTCTGCAACATTCTTTCCAGACAACAAAACAGAAGGTTAAGGCATCTTGAATTGAGTGATCCTGTGAGTGAGTATAAGACAGGATCTGATTCTGAAAGCTAAGAATAAGAGAATTAACAACGAGAAAAAAAAAATAACAAACAAACAAACAAGAAGCAAATGAATCTATGGTTAAGGAAAAAATGTATAAAAAAAAATAAAAAAAAAGAAACCCTACAACTTGTAACATGTTTTGAATAATTATAGTTGGGGTTGGTACTTACTGAATGGTGAAAGATATGGGAATTACTTTTGGTTGTTAAATCCTACACATTTTCCACTATTTTGTTATCTGAGAATGAAAAACCTCTACTCAGCTAAGATATGCCTCTTTTTTGTGGCTTATGCGTGTTAAAACTTTTTAAGTTATAGAAAATAAAGTCTTTTGCTTTTTTCAATTTTAATAATAAAGAAGTTTAAAATTCTGTCAACTTTTTTTCAGTTTCTTCTACTCTTTCTCCGTTGATGGAATCTTTAAACTCTCTTCCCTAGAGAATTCTCAACAACCAAAGGAATCCCAGATGAAAATTTGACAGAATCAATGCCACACCAAAAAAAAAAATGATCACTTCCCAATTTCTCTCTCTTCTCTCCCGTTTTCTAGAAGACAACCATTTCACAAAACCCCATGACCAAATAGAGAAAGGAAACAAAACCCAGTTCAGTTTTAGCCAGAAAAAAACACCAAAGATACAAAAAACACAAAACAGAAATCCCATATAAAATCTAATGAAAAAAGAAGAAAGAAAGAAAAAAAAAACCTTGATTTCTCAGCTAAGTTTTGAGTCTGGAAAATCAGGATAGCAGGTAGCTAGAGAGCCGGGACTGGAAACACTCGCCGGAAAATGGGGTCCCCCAGCCGGAGATGAGAGAAATTCCGACAAAACCAGCTAAGAAGAAGTGCAGATGGATCAAAACCATAACACAGATTGTTTCTCTGTCGTCTGTCTGTTTTTGTTGTTGGAATAAGGAGAAGAAAACTAAGACAAACACAACTTCTTATCTCATGCTATATCTAATTATATGCATACATACAAACAACGAACTGTACGTAATCTAACTGTGTATGTCCCCTTTTGCTCTGTAATATCACAAATAAGGGGAAAAAATAAAGGAAAAAAAAAAAAAAAAAAGCTCTTCTTTGTGGTTCAAAAGCCACTTTATTACTTTTTTTTTTTTTGCCACTAATGTATATGTGTGAAGTAGAATACTTTTGGTTTGTTAGTTTAGTTATAAACTGAGTTTATATAAATGAAGGTATAAATGTGATGTCATACATTCACACGCCTACAATAATTTAGTTTGTATATAAATTAATGGAAAATTTGAAAATGAAATTCTCGAGGGTGTTATTATTGTTATTATTGTTCTAAATTGTTGAATGTCGTGGTCAACATGGGTAGCCAAACAAAATTAAGATATTTATTTATTTATTTTCTTGAAAGGATTTGATTTTAATTTTTTAATGTAGAGATCATTGGAGTATGAAATCACATGGATTTAAGCATATCTGTCTTTTTTTTCTTTTTTTTTTTATGTGTGTTTTGGTGTATGTATTTCTCAAATTACATGAAAATTATTTGCTACATTCATGAGGTTATAGTCAGATAAGGTTGGCCAAGAATTTTGTAACAGCTACGTGCTCTAAATTATAGCAAGGACCAATGCTACGTAATTAATTTCACCTTTTCTTTTGGGGCTAAAAAATTATTGAATGTTCTATTCTCAAATAATAATAATAATAATAATAATAATAATAATAATAATAATAATAATGATAATATATTATTATTATTATTATTATTATTATTATTATTATTATTATTATATATGTTCTAATTTTTTATGAAGATGTTCTCAAAGTAACACACAAAATCAAAAGTGTTTTGAGATTCTTTATTGAACCTTAAACAAATAAGGCTTCATCCATGTGGTTTGTTCAATACAGCAATTAGTGGCATCAAAATTTTGTGGAACTTGACTTTACTTTCTACTGATTTTGTTAAAATTGGATAAGTACACCAATTACATGATGGGGAAAATTTAAATACATAACCAAAGGACCTTTGGTTGGCTGAAGAATCTTGTAATGGAAATATGTGCATATATAAATAATATTTGCTAATGTCTACAGCCCACAAATATATACAAATATACTACTAAAATAATCACTTGCACACAAATATTTTAGCAATTTTAACATATATAATCAATACACAATGATTGTCTACTACACGTGGCTATATATAATTAGCCAGTGGCTCTTTATGGACCAACACCGCCCAATTTAATCGTTCGTAATCAAACATAGAAAAAATTATCTTGAGCATGGAGTGGTAGACTCGTCTATATACTATTTGTTCCAAGTATATATAATACACAAAGGATAAGTAGATATTAACGAAATATAATTAGTATATTAGTCGATCGTGACAAGGTGATGATTTCGGTTATGAAATATAAAAAGGACCAACTAAGCAAACAATTAAAAATACTATTTCAAAGTACGATCAGAAGAATTATGGTGTGTTTAGTTTACTTCATATGATTTGCATGCCATGATGTATTTTTCTTAACTATTTTATTTTTTAAGAAATGTAGATTCATTGACCTTAGATATAAACTATAAAATGTAAGAAATTGTTGTGCTTCCCAAATAAATCCTTCAAACTACTTTTAGGCTATGTTTGGTAAGGTGGAAAATGGAGAAAATAAATTGGAGAAGAAAAGAGAATGTTAGATTATTTGGTAGAGAGTAAATTAGAAAGAAAATAACTTACAAATTCATGGGACCATCATTTTTCAGTCATTCCAACTTTAAAAAGAAAAGAAGTTAAGAAAAGTATTTAACAAAGCAAATAGTATCTTAAATAACCATTTTGACTCTTCTAAGTTCTACCAAACAATATATGAAAGACAAACTCACTCCTCCATTTCATTTTCATCGCATTAATATTTTGCTTCTCTTTCCTAAAGATAGTGATTATTCAAATATTAGTTTATGCCATAAACTTTACGGTGTAAAAAAGAGATAGAGACCTATTAAAAAAAACAGAGAGAGAGAGAAAATACAAGTACGTAATTATTTATGAGTTAAAATATATCTTTCATAGGAAAGCATAATATAAACATGGAAAAAAAAAAAAGAACAACTAAATTCTAAAATCTAAATGATTAAATGGATTGAAATTCGAGCTCAAGTTATCACACGTGATATGAGAGAGTAAATAAGGAATGCCTGCTCATGCCACAGTAGAACCCAAATTTTGACACTTGACAGAGGTATAGACCACGTGTTTTTCTCTTTGAAAAAGATTAAAAAGAAAATCCACGGATGTATTTTTCATGGGGTTGAAAAAAAATGAATGAACATAAACGCTTTCATGGGGTTGAACAAAATTAAGCAATTTTAAAAGACCTCAAGGTAACTTCTCTTGACAAACCCCACAACCAAACATGCATGAATTCCTAATCACGTAGAAAAACTCAAGTTTTCATTTTGGAAAAGCAATATAAATAACTCAACTTCAATAGGAATAAAAAAAAAATCTACTTTAATGAATCATGATATGCCATGTATATTTTTCCCTTTTCTAGTAAATTCCATACATTTTTCTCACGAATTCTTTCTTTCCCATTTTGTTTTTGTTTCTTTTAATTTTCCATTAGGAGCAGTAACGTTTCAAAAAGTAAGAAAAAAGAAACACTAATAGCTCATTTAGTTCGTTGATTCGAGTTTTTAATTCGAGTTAAGATGTAATTTTATATAAGTGTTTTTTACTGTAATAAAAAAATTAAATACGTCTGTTTATATGAATTTTTTATTATATAAAAACTCAAATTTTAAACTCAAATAAGTGAAATGAACTGTGCATAAATAAAATATAAAATCTAAAGCCTAACTAGCTCATTTAGTTCGTTGATTCGAGTTTTTAATTCGAGTTAAGATGTAACTTTATATAAGTGTTTTTTACTGTAATAAAAAAATTAAATGCGTCTGTTTATATGAATTTTTTATTATATAAAAACTCAAATTTTAAACTCAAATAGGTGAAATGAACGGTGCATAAATAAAATATAAAATCTAAAGCCTAAGAACTATATATTTGATATTGGATAGGACTACCACGCACCACCCTAAAAAAAAGGCATATTGTATTGTCACCCAAACCCCACAAAATAATCTAGCAAAAAGATGTGAGAATATCTTTGCTTTGATTATTGATATTGTCCATGTCCCTAAAAAGTACAAGGACCCACACCATTTACCTTGCACAAAATGCAAAAGCGTTGCTAAGAGAAAGGTCATGATCCGGTGGAGCCACTTTCACCTACGATATGATGGGCGCTTTGACCCGGATGTTTTGAACCCTTTTCTTCCATACTTTTTGGGTAGACGAACCTCTCCCAAGAACTCCACGTGTCCACCCCATACTTTCTGTGGACCCAACTCAGTCCTGGATCTGTGAACTTTGAGTATTGTAACTGTGGTCGGCAATACTTGGCACGGGATTTGGGTATGGGTTTTAAAAAACCAATTTGATGGAGGAGGTTTCTCTAGTTGGACTAAAAAGAATAAATTAGTAGTAATTTTTTATTTTTAACCCTTAAATTTGTGTCAAGGACTACTTATCATGTATATTTTCATAATTTTATGTGTTTTTAATTAAATTTAACAATTAAAAACTGATTCTACTAACAAACGGACATACTCGATAAAGTCTCAAAGTTGTTATAGTTTTTTGTTTTTAAAAACAATTTAATATGATAACAGTGATCGAACTATTTAAAATAGTATAATGTTGATAGTTTATTATTATTATTGTTTACAACTCGCATAGAGTAATTGCTACCCCCCTTGGTTCTTAACTTTTTACAAAAATCAAAAGAATACCAATCAAATTGTCACCTATCTACTCCTGCACAATATTGAAAAGAAAAATGACTAGAAAAAAGCATTTAATTTGATTTTTTTTTCCCTTCTAAATTGACCATAAACACTTTTACAAACATTAATCTCAAACGACATTGGAACTACTTGTCAAACTCGCTATTGAAAAACATTCAACTGTTAAAATTTTGTTTGGTGGGGGTCATCGGTTAAATATCTTGGAACTAACAATGCTTATACAAAGTCCTTTCAAAAGACAATAATATCAGCATGTCTAAATCAAGTTACATTGTCTTTCTTAGGGAAAAAAAAAAATCAAATTACATTGTCATTTTTCCTTTCTTTGATATAATTTTGGTGTAATCGGACAATTGAAAGTTATCATACCCTACTAAAAATAAATAAATAAAGAAAAAGAAAGTTGTCCTGCCGATGAGGTATGTTTTCAGACACAAGTAGAAGCTTCTGATTATTTGAAAACAAAATAGGGTTTTTTTTTTTAAATCTTATAAAGTTAATGAGTCGTACTAATTAAAGAGTGATTCAATCTTATCCTATATGAAAATCACTCATACAAGAATAAGTATTCAGAATTGACATTAAGTATTTTTTCCTTGCACTATGCCACTGCCAAAGAAATTATACTTTTTCTTTTTATAGCGTGTGTTTTGAGTTTATTTAAAAATAATATTTTTAATTTTTGATCACATCAAATGTATATAAATAAATTAGATTTAATACTCAAATTCATACTTTTATATAATTAACCCTTGATTGTAACCTTAAACTACCCTTGAATAAAAATAGAAAAAGAAAAAAAAATAAAAAAATTTAAAACTTATAGTTTTAACCTTAAAAATATGCAAAATTAAAATACCATTGAAATGATTTTTTTTTTGTGTTTTTAATTTTTATTTTTTGTAATATTGAAAATTTTTAGACTTTTTCCTTTTTTTTCTTAGGATAGTTTGGCCATTTTAAATGTAAAAATTAATTATTGATTGAGATAATGTATAAAGTTATATATTATATTTGAATGTATACATTTAATAAAATAAAAAATTAAAGCTATAAATTTTGAACAAACCTAAAACATATGATATAAAAATAAAAATATCCCACCCCCCCGCGTGTTTTTAGGATTCCCCCCTCTTTTTTTAGGATTCTCCGTTATTAGTGGAGTGAAAAAATGGAGGGGTTATTCTTTTAAAGTGTG